CAATGGTCAGATTCATGAAGGGTGATCACTTAGTTCATTTTCCTACTCACCCTATTTTTACTCCATATCAGCAGTAGAATTTGGACGTGAAAAAAGAAGAAAAAGAAGAAGACGATGATTGGTGATGCTTTAGTTAGATTTTTGTTTATTTTTTATGTTTAATTGTACTTTATTGTTGAGACTGTTTGTTTGTGGACTGTGGTACTTTATTTTGTTGTATGCTGTGTTGTGAACTATGGATTTATGAGACTATTTTTTATACTGTTATTAGTTTTTCTTACTTTGTTGGATGTATTTGTAGTTAACTCTTTCTCAGCAAATTTTTATATGTATTATGTGTTATTTAATATTTTAAGTCTTATAGTTTTTCATATTAGCACATACAATATTTCAAAGTTAAGTTTCAAATCAGAACCTTCAACAGGTATGTCTTTTCTTTATGTATTAAATGTTTTCTTTAACCCTTAATATTTCAGTTCATCATTTAAAATCTTTTATCATTTAAAATCTTTTAAAAATCATCATTTAAAATCTTTTAAAAATTAAGTTTGGGGGAAGAAAAATTCCTTTTTAAAGAAAATAAACATAATTTTATTTGTCCTCAATTAGTTATATTTCCACAATATTTAAAAATTTTTAACATGACCTTTAGTATTAGAGAGTAACTTTAGATAACTATGCCTATGTTTCTAAATATATAGTAAATTTAAGTAAAATTTTTAAATAATATAGGTTAATTTTAGAGATTATGATTATTTGGTATGATAGAATAAGACTATGTTGTTCTATTTTTAGTAAAGTAATTTGTATTTTTAAAGTATTAAAAATCTATGAAAAATCTTCAAAGCTAATATAAATTTATAAAGTGAAGGAATGTGAAAAGTTTTTAACTTTAAGAAGGGGATAGTGAAGTTCAAAATCATTAAAGGCTATTCAGATATATTAATCCTCACATGAAAAGAAAAAAATAAAAAGAAAAGAAAAGAAAAGAAAAAATGCATTGAAAATGATCCTAAAAAGAAAAAAGAAAAAAGAAAAGAAAAGAAACAGAAAGAAAAAGAAGATGTGAGGAGAAGCTTGAGAAGATGCCCAATTAAAAATTGGCTTCACCTGAATCAACCTAAAGAAGAAGGCTTAGCTACATTTTCTAAACTTATATTTTAGTATTAGCATATTTACTAGTAAATTACTAGTAAAAATTAGTACCATTACTAGTAAAGTTTTTATGAAGTTCTTTTTCATATGAATGTTCTAAGTGCTTTAATATGAATAATTTGCAATTTTTCTTGAAATGAATAGAGTCTTGAAAAGAATAGAGAGTCAAAAATCTTATACTTGACTGCTAGATATTCTTATACCTTTAGTATTAATTGGAGTTATTTTAAACTTTTCTGAAGTGATGCTATTTTATCTAGTGAACTAAGATATGAAAATCTAGAAGTTAAAATCTTTACCATAAGTCATATTTTTATGTAGTAAACGAGTTACTTCAAGACAAGTAAAATTTAAGTTTGGGGGATTTTGATACACCAAAAATATATGCATTTTTAGACCCATATTTTATTCTCATTTTGGGTGATATTGAACTTTAATAGAAGATATTTTCAATGTTTTACTGCAGGTTGTTGATTTTGAGGACCTGGAGGAAAAAAGAAGCAACAAAGATTGAATTTGAAGCAAAAATGGAGAAGTTCAAAATTTGTTCAACACTGACGGCGCCATTTAACAGAAAATTAGGATTTAATTACGGGCCTCTGGCTCCGACTGCACCAGGATGGGCGTCGACAGCGGTAGTGTTGGTGGAGTGTCGGTGGAGTGTTGGTGGAAGCCCTGTTTCTAGAAGATTCGACAAATTTGGACGCTTTTGGATGCAACTATTAGAGAACCGACCTAGGCTCTATTTAGGGCCGAAATTTAATCAGAAATCCCCTCCTTTTGCACTATTTCAACTTCTTCTACTCATTTCAATTTTCCTCTTCACACATCTACATTCCACACCATTCCACACCATTAGTTAGTTATTGTTTTTTTAGATTTGAGTTTTTGTGGTGAGTTTAAGTGTGAATTCTTCCTTAAGAAGTGTTGGTAAGAGTGTTGGAGAAGGAGAAAAGTAAGAGATTTCTTCTTCCTACATTTTCTAAGAGAGGCTACAAAGGATTTGCTTTAAGAAAGTGTTTAAGATAAGTTTTGTTTGTTTATTATTGTTGTATGAACTTTCTTTTATATATAAAATTTGTGTTTTTTTGTATCTTTCTGATGAAGTCTGAGTAGATTCATTTATCTTTCTCCCTACTCTGAGATATGGTGAAATGAAGAGATAATGTTGATGTGCCGATGTTAAAATTTAAAATAAATTGTGATGGGTTTTCAACTCGGCTCTTAACTTACTTTTTGATCTGACCAACATAGTTGTTAAAATATGTTGTGAAACATATGATCCGGGAAATGGAGTATGAGTTCTACAACAGAGTGAGAATCACATTTAAGTCCATGAAGGAGTATTTCGTTCATGGGATTAAGTGCAAATAAATAGAGAAATAAATTTTGTTGGGTGTAAAATTTGAGATTTCGAGGGCGACAGACTAATAATCTCCAATTTGATCTTAGTGTTTAAAAACTAAAGCGAGAGTTAGCCTTCAGGGGAAGGGAAGTGGGAGCTCTGAAGTGGGAGTCATTAATCTCTTAGCCTAGCCACGAATTTTGGGACTAAACCTGGGATTAGCCAATGATTTTCTATAACACTATATCAGGGTAGAAAATTAAAACTGCTCCTATTTGGCACAATACATATTTGAACCATTTATCTCATCTCATTTTACCGAAACCTCATTGTTGTGAGAAAGATGCTTTTTCACATAAGAAAACTTCATCACATAAACATAGTTTAATAGTTATTAATTTTAAAATCTGCTTTTAAATTATGATAGTAGTAAATAATTTAGCTTTGATAATATCTGAAACTTTCAAAATTAGTGACAGTAATTTCATTTAATTTCTGTAAATTTCCTAGTTAATTTATCATTTCATATTTAAACATTCCCCGTGGGATTGATATTTTGGACTTAAACAGAAAATCTTATATTACTTGATAATGATACATATACTTGCGTAGCATCCCAATTTTAAGTGCTTAAAATTATTATTCATAAAATACCACATGAAGTTTTTGATACCGTTGCAAAGCGGAGTCAACTTTATAAATTTTACACAACTATATTTTCTTGGGATCAGACTTCCTAAGAGTTTTTTAGCAGAGGCTGTGAATATGACATGTTATCTCATCAATAGATCACCTCAGGCATCATTGGGTGGCAAGGTCGCAGAAGAGGTATGGACAAGTTATCTAGTTAATTTCAATCATTTACAATGCAGAAGAGGTATGGACAAGTAATCTAGTTAATTTCAATCATTTATAATTTTTTTGTTGTCTTGTTATGTTCATGTACCTGGAGTTGAAAGATATCAAAACTTGATTCAAAATCCAAGAAGCGCATCTTTCTGGGCTACAACAAAGGAGTGAAAGGATACAAGTTTTGAAATCCTATTGCAAAAAAGATGCTAATCAGTAGAGATACAGTTTTTTATGAACAATCCATGTTGCAGCAGAATCAAGACAAGATACAAGGGAACAGTTTCAGTTCATATGCAATGCAGATGGATTTAAAACATCATCTGAAAACAACTGAGAGAGTTGAAGGTTCAAATCGAACATCTGGTGATTATATTCTAGATGATCTGCAGAATTGTAATCCAACTAAAGACAGACAGAGGCACACGATTGTAATGCCCCCAAGCAGATTGGGTTTTGAAGACTTGGTCTTTTGTGCACTTCTCATCAGCAGCGATGATCCGTCAATTGTAGGGTACGTTGATTTAGACTATGCAGATGATTTGGATGGCAGAATGTCTACAACTTGATATGTGTTTACTCTTGGTGGAGGGCCTATATGTTGTAAATCAACAATTAAGTCTATTGTGACATTATCTACAATTAAAGCTGAGTACATATAGTAGTTGAAGCTGCAAAAGAAGTTTTATGGCTTGCTGGGCAAGTAAAGGAACTGAGCTTTGAGCAAGGTAGAGTTCAGTTGTATTGTGACAGTCAGAGTGCTATTTATCTGGCTAAGAACCAAGTGTGCCATGCGAGAACAAAGCATATTGATGTCAGATATCACAAGATCAGAGAATTGATTGCTTCTTGTGAGATACTGTTGCAGAAGGTTCATACTGATGAAAATGCAGTTGAAATGTTGACCAAGCCAGTTACTATCAGGAAGTTCTTGCATTGCTTGGACTTGTTGAATGTTTGCAGTTGCTAGAGAAGCATGGTGACCCAACCCACATTTCAGTGTATAAAAAACTCCATGATGTATTTCTCATAACGGGCTGGCTATTCGCCAAGGAGAAGATTTGTTAGGTATGACTCATATACCATATAAGGGACAAATGCTGGAACAAAGCGGACCAGAGCGGAAGAATCTGTCCAATCGAGGGAATTTCGTTATGTGAGTTAGGGGTGCGGGGCCAACGCCCCCCGGTGCGGTACATGGGTAGTTTGAGAATTACATATTGTACTCAGGGTTTACTCTAGAATTAGAAATAGGCTTATTTGTAACCTTAAGTCTATATCCCATTTCTTGTACTTCTTTTCTGAGATTGAAGGAAAGTCGCCGCTCTACTCCCGAAGACGTATGCATCTTTGCCGAACCTCACTAAATCCTCGTGTTCTTCTGGATTTGTGTCAATTCTTGTTTTCTTCGTCTTAATTTCTCAACAAAATCTCCACCCATATTTCTTATTTTTATCAACTTCACAACGAACTGAGATCATAATTCATAAATAATAATATTTCGATGATATATAACCAATATAGATATATATATATATATATGAGGAACTATATATATATACCGTTTACATGAAGAAATTACCCACCGGAACCCTATAAATTTCAATCTCACCCGCAGTCGGTGCTCCTGGATAAAAATCACAAAAAACGCGGCAGATTCCATCACCCATCGCTCTCAAATCTCCAGGCGCGCACAACTGCATTACGCCGCCGACACCTTTTTATAAAACCCCATGAATCCACTCTAATTCTTCCCACGCACTCCCCTGCTCTTCGTCATGGCTTCCTGCACATTTTCCCCCATCATCATCTTCCTCCTCCTCTCTCCATCCCTCTCCTTGTCCGCCCCCACCATGTCATCCGGCTTTCTCTCCACACTCCACTCCACAATAAACCATATCCAGCAAGTGAGCAGCATCGTCTCCACCTTTGCCGGAACCTTCGACGGCGACCTCCGTCTCTCCTCCGCTATCTCCGATTGCCTCGACCTCCTCGACTTCTCTTCTGACGAGCTCTCATGGTCCCTCTCTTCCGTTGGCGCCGCCACCACTGCCTCGGTCATGTCAGGCACCGGTGATCGCCATGCCGACCTTCGATCCTGGCTCTCCGCCGCTCTCGGAAACCAGGACACTTGCAAGGAAAGCCTCTCCTCCACCGGAAGTTTGCTCGCCTCGCTCGCCTCCGACGGCCTCGACACCATTACCTCTCTTCTATCACAAGGAATTCGGCAGCTTCCCGCCGGGGGATTCGGAGGGAGGAGGCTGAGGAGGCTGGTGGGAGGTTTTCCGAGGTGGGTGACGGTGGCTCACAGGAGGTTGTTACAGGCGGCGGTGGCGGCGGTGGATTTGACGGTGGCGAAGGACGGCAGTGGAAACTACACGACCGTGAGCCGTGAGTGCCGCGGGGGAGGCGGCGCCGGCAGAGAGCGGACGGCGGTTTGTGATTTATGTGAAGCGGGGGGTTTATGTGGAGAATGTGGAGATTAAGAAGAAGAAATGGAATTTGATGTTGGTGGGCGATGGAATGAACGAAACTATTATTTCCGGCAGCCGGAATTTCGTTGATGGGTGGACTACGTTTCGGTCGGCTACTTTCGGTAAGTGAGGTCTCAACCCTTTTATTTATTTATTTATTTGATACGATATGTAAATTGTAATTATGTTATGACAATTAAGAACAAAAAAATATTATAGGTGTTTAGTGCGTAAATAGGTTCCCTCCAAATTCCACCGTAAAATATGAAAAAAAACAGTGTAACAGAGTTCAATATGTTTACATAAATCCGAAAAACAAAAATGCATTATTAAAATAGAGGGAAAATAAAAGTAAAATCACAAGCTAATTATTTATGTGAAATTTTCTATTAAAATTTTCCTAGGATGAGTTTCGAAATTTAGATCTATTAATCATAAAGACATAGGATTATTGAAAATGGTTTTCTGAGTCCATCTAGTGTAGTGCACTTCTGCACTTGTGAATCTTACTGGCACACTCGTCCAAATCAATAAAAGCTTTTTGACTTGCATGGAAAGAGCGTACACAGAGCTGCGTGCGCTCCCCAATCACAACCACACATGAACCATCCCTGCATGTTAGTGGGTCCGCACGCAGCTTGCGCGCGCTCTCCATACGCAATAATTTTTCGCAATTCCCAAGGCTGATGTCGAAAGCGTTGCTCGTCAGTCATCATGCTTGCAAGGGTAAGTTTATATAATTTGTTTTGACTTTGTGATAGTTTATATAATTTTTTTTTATTTATCTAATATATTCATGTTTTTAATAATTAGCAGAATATTAAAACACAAGGTGATCCTACGTAGGAGTAGAAGTCTCCATGAGCTTACAAGCCAAACTCAAAATTTAAAAATTATTAATATAAATATACTTGAAATATATTAAATTTCAAGATTTCATAAAGTGTTATAAATATTGTAAAAAATAATATATATTATATATTTTGTGATTTCTTATTATTTATCTCTTAATTGTTCATTATATTTATCATCATATTATGATATTATAATGTTAGTTTATTTTAATTTATTTTTTCTCTTTTATTATAAAAAAAGATTATTGAAGAGCTGGTTAGAACTCGTAGAATTAATTCCGAGCTCAAAGTCAAACTCAATAGAATAAATCAAAATTATGCTCAAGTTTAAGAGGACTAAACTCCACTCAATTCATTTACACCGCTATGCTAACCACTAACTTTTAAGCTCATTGATTTCAAATAAAATAAGTACATTTCCACTTATGAGATCATGTTATGGGGATCAGTTGAGGACATTGAATCTCATAGTAATGGGAGGAACCGCTTCATTTATGTCGCCATATTCGACGCAGCTCCAGCAATCCTTTTGGCATCTGTATTTACTCGATGGCCACCACCAAAGGATTTTGCATGTAGTTTTTTAATCAATGGCACATGACAAAAGAATTAAAAAACTAAAAATAAATGACTTGCATTAATCACTACCTAATGAATTTATTCTCATATTTACTACATCTTGCGGATTCGGCACAGTTTGAAAAGAAAATTTATGTCAGAATGAGCAGATAAATGATAAAAAATAGAGATAAATATTTATAAATAAAGGATATTTAAAAGAAAAAAGTAACCTTTTTTAGTTGCTAACATATGCTTCATTTGATTCAATTTATTGTTTAATTAGTTAGCATCTGACTTCCTATTTTTTGCATCAAATCTTATCTAGCATACTTGATGCACTTTCTTACTTAAAAACTTCACTTTTACATTGTAATTAAATGCATGTCATTTTAGCTTGTTGGCTGAGAGTTTATGTAATGGCTGAGAGTTTATGTAATAGATTCTGGGTTGAGGGACTTGTATATGGAATATAAGGGCATTTAACATTAAATTTGTTCAAATATCTCTGAAAAAAATAGGAAAAAAGAACACCATAACTCATTAAATCATATTTATCATGAAAGTAACCAACTAATCTTAGAATCCAGGAGTAGCTAATATTTTAGTACATGGCTATCGTTAAGCGTTGAAGAATATATATGGCTAATGTTTTTTTCATTTTTTTTAAGTGAACTATTTAGTAATTTTTGTAGGTTTTATTGAATTCAAATTTACATGAATTGTTCATCTCAACATTTGGCTAAAGAACTAACATAATATCAATGAATTTACTTAAATATGATTTTACCATTCAGCGTTAAAATGAAATGTTCCATTTGGGACCGCTTTTTATGTATAAATTGCAAGGATATTTATTAATTTAAGTGAGTAATTTATTCGGCTTTTGTTGAGAAATTAGGGCGAAGAAAAACAAGAACGACACAAGTCCAGAAGAATACAAATAGATTTAACGAGGTTCGACAAAGATGCCTACATCATCGGAAGCAGAGCGGCGACTTCCTTTTCAATATTCAGAAAAGAATACAGAGTACAAGATTCATCTCTCTCAAATACCTAGGATTACAAACATGTCTATTTATAATCATTGAGTAAACCCTACAGTACAATATGTAATTCTCAAATTACCCTTGTACCGTATTGTAGGGCGTTGATCTAGCACCCCCAACTCACATAACGTAACTTCCTGATTTGAGCAAATTCTTCCGCTTCTTTTCAGGGTCTGTCCCTATATGGTATATGAGTCATACCATAACAAATCTCCACCTTGGCGAATATCCAGCCCCTTAGGGAAAAAGATACCTGAGAGTTACACCTGCACCAATGTGGGTTGGGCCACCATGCTTCTGTTGCGCCCACGCTGATCTCAACCCACTAAATTCCAAGAGACACACCTCTTCAA